ACAGTCTTGAGGCAGAGACTGAAATTTCACAATTCCCTTTGACGTTTCTTGTAAATCAACAGTTTAAAACCACTTTTTAAATGTGAATTCCGAAGACAGGCACCTGAATGTGGACATTTCTCCAAGGCTGGCCAAAGGCACCATTTCAAAGCACGTGCACAGAGAAGTCCTTCTAATCACATCAACAGAACTTACAACATGTGCTCAGGAACAGTGATGCACATGCCTTCCTCTTCTCCCCTTGAGAACATTCCCAGACAGACTTCTCACTCTGACTCTCCGTCAAAGGAGAACAATAGTATTCAGTTAATTCTTAAAACTGTAACTATCACTACAAGATTATGGGGTCCTCACAACAATTGCAAGAAGAACATCACTCTAGACCAGAGAGGTAGATCTGGTTGATCCCAGGTCTGGCCCTTTCTCAGCAATTCAGCAGAAGACTACTTATTTTCCCCCATTTTGTCCTTTTGAGATAGAGGGCTGCATATAATGTGTAATCAAATGCCAGACTGATAACTCTAATGAAAAGGATATTGCAGAAGAGATGAGCTGACCTAATCCCCAGATCACATTCAGTGTATGTGAAACCATTAGTGTCATGTTTTGAGGAGCCTATTCCTATTTACACATTAAATGACTGAAGACTGCCTATGTCCTCAGCTGGAGAAGGTTCTTAATTCTTTTGGGACCTTGAACTGCCCATGTGAGGATTATGAACTAGGCTGATCAATCCTTTCTTGACCAGCATGTTTCTGAACAAGCAGAATCACATCGATAAACACTTAGGAGACCAACAAATTAATATATCTACAACTTGAGTATCTCCAGCACAAACCAGCATAGAAGGTTTCAGACCAATACAGAAGACAAATGCCTTGATACGTGGTTTTCAGAATATTTAAAATACATTCCGTTTATACAACAGATGTTCAGATTACTTAAAGAAGCTCTTTAAGTGTCAAAATATTTATGAATTCTAATTTAAATGCATATAACTTAAAAAAAAAAAAAAAAAAAAAAAAAAAAAAGAATACATAAGCTCTGAATTCATAGAAATATAGGGCAAAGAACTAGAAAGTGTCTCTAACACCCAGTCCATAGCTATTACAACAATTACTGTGTGTGGTGGACTACTACAGAGAATGGACTACAGAGAAGTGACAAGATTCACTTGTTTTCCCTGAATATCACCTTCCATCAGAGACAAAATAGCAGGCATGGTGGACCACTGCTGACAAAACTTTCAAAATTCCAAGTTCTTAGCTCCCTTCAAAAGCTATCTAAAAAGTCCCATCAACATTTTTGTGTACATTTAAGTAGTTCTTTACCCTAGGTACTATCCACTTTTCATTATTTGGAAACCACATTTTGGTACCTACATTTCAGCAACTTAAAGCCAACATTTTCCTTTTGTAACAGAGGTTTCTCTATTCTTCAGATCCCAAAAGGTCTTTCCAGCTCCAGTTGAGCAATGTGTGACAGAAATACACCCAAAATTCCTGATGAAGTCTCACCAATTTCTTTACTACAGTCTACTACACTAGAAACTCCTCAGGTGATACATACTAAAACTACACTTACCTTTATCATAATGTTTTTTATTTCTCATTAATTCAGTCATTGCCTCATACTTCTTCTTTCTCCTCCCACAGTTATTTCTGTCCTTAAAGACTAATAACAGAAACAACAAAACCTTGGGGCTTTGCCCTGTTGAATATCATTATATTTCTGTTACTCTCTCCTCTAGGTGACCCTATTCTGCTAGATGACATTCTGATCCTCCTCCCTACTGAGGAGCACTCAGAGCTTTGTGTTATAAATAATGCTCTCTTACTTTGTGCTCCAAGGTCCTTAATGAAATTAAATATTAAATTAAAAATCTCTTCAGATTCATCTCTTTCTTTTCAAATAATTGCCAAGATGCTTTTGAAGATTTCATCCAAGGATGTAAACAAGTATTGCTTTGCCGCACATTCATTTTATGAACTACAAAAGTTGGTAGCATTTTAGAGTAGCACCATAAATGCTGTGGAGAAAAGTTACATTACTGGAAATGCATTTTTAAAAGATGTAATTAAGTTCCTTATCCAGTCTAGCACTATAACAGTCACTTTAAATACAGGAATTAGGGACGTAAGTGTAGGTATGAGGCAAAACACCTTGGAATTTGATGACTAGATCGTCACATACACAAAGGGATGGAGCAGTGGTGAGGTTTCATTCATATATTCTCACATGAAAAGGAAAACAATTCTGAATTCTTACCTTTGCTGGACTGGAAGGAACCACTAGGCTTTTTTTCTGGCAGAGGTCTCATATTAGGGGACATAGAAACGTATTCAAGCCCCAGATATTTCCTTCTGCATGATCACTAACTTGAAGGCAGTTTGTCTATGACATCAAATTCACCTCAAATGTCACTCCTAGAGATGCTGAAATATAAGAGCAATCACTCCCCAGTCACTTCACTACCACAAGACACTGACCCCAGTAATAGAGCGCAAGGGATTTCCAGCTTCCCCGATCAGCACGTGCAGAGCATTTCTCCCCTTCCACTCTGTCAGCACCGTGTCCTCCCACATCCTTGCACTCCCCACAGACACATAAATATTGTACTAACAAGCAATATAATCACTTGAGTGTCCCTGGGATGTAGGGACTCCTTGCACACCCTAAGTAAACCTCTTCCCCATGCCATACAACAGGAAATTTTGTCAACTGAAATCAGAAGCAAAGAAACGTGAAAGAACCCTGCAGCAGGTTTATAAACAAAGAGAATGTACTCTTCTATTAATGCTAGCCAGATAACCCGCCACCCTCTTCCACACCAGCTCCAGGGCTGTGTGAGCTCCCTCCAGCAAGGCCAGCCACAGGCACACAGAGACAGTCAGTCAGGGGGGAGCCAAAGGACTCCCCCCACCTCACCTGCGAGACTTATATGGTTTAGACATTATCTTTCACATAAAAATCTTAGTTCGTCACTTCCAAGGATGACTTATCCCATTACCAGTGAAGAGAAGGGAACAAAAAAGTTTAATCCCATCCTTATGCCCCCTCCAAAAAAAAAAAAAAAAAAAAAAAAAAAGGACAGAGCAGAGCAATTAGATGTTTGTTTGGACAAACTAATTAAGGGATGAAATCCAGATTTTCTCATTAAATGGCAAACAGACATGGTTCTTTCTCCACAAAGAGATCATGGTATTTCTGACCAACTTTAATCTTTAGCCATGATTTCATTCCATGTACTCTGCAGAGCAGCTTGTTAAAAGAAAAGTTAAAAATAACTGAACTCTGCATTATGTCCTTATCATCTATTAATACCAACTCTCTCATGAAAACGTTTCTTCCCATTGCAATCAGACTAAAAGAGAGATTGACGTGTCTTGAATTCCTTTTAGTGTGCATAATCAGTATAGTATTAAAATGATAAATCATTCTATTAGGCACAGAAAAATTCAACTGTAGATTTTTGAAATATAAATACTTAGCATGAGGAAGATCAGTTTTCAAGGAATTTCAAGACATACAAATGGTGTTTATATGCTTGCAAAATTTAATAAAAACTACATCCACAAGTGAAAACAGCTGCTGGATCATCCTTTGTCTCCCATATCACAACAGACAGGAAAATGGACATATGATTCAGGAACAGTGGTTTTCTATCTTTCCCTCTTTTTTCCTGGTCTTGAATAAACCGTATGAAGGGACTATAATACTGATAGCCACAGAAATCCAGTTATAATTATGCAGGGACCAGAGATCAAGTAAATAACCAGTTGTTTAAACAGAAATAAAGGTGAGTACAAAAGCTGTAGTAAAAACAACGTAAATGAAGGCAAGGGAGCTGGTAAGAGGATGGCAACACTGAAGACAAATAAGCCTGACAATCAGTGGCTGCCCACCAGCACAAAAAACAAGAGGTAAAACACCGGTGAAGTAAGCAGGAGGCTGGGATATTCATAGCTAGCTACAAGGATTTAATCACAGATGTAGAACTTCAGAGGAAAAAAATAAATAAACAGAAGTTAACTTAATAGGCTTATTTTAAATTCACAGTAACAGAAAGACTGTTTAGGAAAAAGAAGAATTCAGACATAGATATTGTGCAAACAACAACCATTACAATTCTGAAAACGTTCTTGTTTCTACTATCATTTCAGAAGTGTCCATTACCTTTATATTTAGGCCACAAGACAAGATACAAATTACGGAGCAAACAGGAGGTAGGAATGAAAGCAAAGAATATTGTCCTGCCCTAAAAGATTAAAGTAATTCTGACAGAAATTACAATTTCTATATATTATCTCTCATAGTGCAAGATTTAGAAAATTGCCAGGAAGACATTTTCCAGCTGTCATCACTGACATGTCAGAAAGAAATAAAACAGAAAAAAAATACCACTATCTTTCACACAAACACATTTTGACTGAGTAAATTAAGCTGCATTACACATGACGGGAGGGTGTCCCCTAGCCTCCGTTCCGTGTATGCGTTTCAAGATAAAAATAACAGGTTTACACTATCATTAATCTGAGAAGAAATCAGGCATAGCAACAGATTAGACAGCTAAATTATATTGAAACCAATTACAAATATGTGGTAGTGTAAGTCTGCAACATTAAGAGTGAAGATAAGATCTATTCATTTCAAAAGAAATCACAGGAAAAATTTTTAAGGATATTTTTTTTTTTCTTTTTTCTTCATGAAAAGATAAATTTTAGGGGTTTTCTCCAAACTCCTATTCCATAAGAGAACAAGAAATCATGATGGTAAAGACCGAAATAAGAGTGCACTCTATTTCCAGGGAGTCTAATGCACAAGAGAGACAAGGGTCTGACTCTTGCCTGCACCCTTCTCTCATTCCTCGTGCCCTGCTGTAAAGTGCTAATGTCAAATGAATCAGGAAAGGCTTTTGGATGCATAAATAAAGATACGGCAAACAGAGACAGGTCAAAGCAGCCACGTGCCAATCTGAATCTAAATCTTCCCACGCTCACCATTTACATTTTGAGTGCAGGCCTCCTTTGGCTTTACATAACATGCAACTGTTCAGATCCACTTTTGGCTTCTGGTTCCTAGAGGGTGTCCTTGAAGCATACCGACAGCGCTATTGGTGAGATCTCTTTTGCCTAAAAAGTTTTAAGTAAAACAAAATAAAGCTGCTGAATCAATTACACTGCATTGATGAGTCAGTACAAATTTTCTCTTGATTCCAGCTGGTCATTAAATAAAGGATCAACAAATCAAACATCTCCAAAAATTAGTATCACTAACAGGATTTGCAGCAACTTTACCTCTTAGGAATAGATAGCCTCTATTACTGGGTCTTGCACTAACACACAGCCTGACATCGGGGGGGAGGGCGTTCATATAGCCTCACTGTATTCTGAGAACAGAGTAAAACTTACTTCCCCAGACTCCTACCATTCTCTGAGAATGAATGGGTGCCACAAATGAAATTTTTGTAGTACAAGAATTTAGACATTTCTGACAGAGCCAATTGATCCAAAAGAGCATTGCTAGAGTAGGTATCCCTCTTATAACCACATAATTAGAAGCATTATTGGAAAGAGAGACTGGAGGTGAAATAAAATAACATTTCTCAGTTAAAATAAATGTATAAAACTGTCTAAACAGAATTTACATTATCAAGTTTAGTAAAACTTCAATTTTTTTTTTTTAATCCCTAACAATCTTTGTTTTCCAAACTCCTCTCCCCCATTTTCATTCTTCTTCTTGAAAAACAGGTTTAAATTTTAGAGGTAGGGTCATTGCCTCATTGTAGTAACTTAAAAGAACTTCCCACCAGGCCAACCCTCAGGGCTTTTTTCAAAAATAAACTAACAAATTTGCAATTGCCTGTTGCTCACAGGCTTTTGTTCATGTATTCAAACCTCAGCTCTTCTGGGGACAATATCTGTCACTGTGGGCTTTTCAAGTGTGCAGGTAGTGATACTTACAGAATATGACTCACCAATTAAGTAGAGCAGACATTATTCCCTTTTAAAGCATTGTTAGACCAAACAGATGTGAGGAATCACTGGATGATCTTAACCAGTTTAGATTTTTTTTTTAAAGTAAATAAACAAGAAATAACTGATTTCTTCTATTCCACAATAAATTAAAAATAAAACCACTAAGCAAGAAAGCATAATTCAGATAATTGAAAAGAAAAAAAAAAAAAAGTAAATGCTGTTGCCTGTAAACTCACTTCTCTGTTACAGGGATGAGTTTTATTCCAGCTTTGATTTTTGTGTGTGTGTTCCTGATGTCGTTTATAACAGTATTCAAGTTAAATGATTTGCAGAGGAAAGACTCTTACTGATATGTCTGGAAATGATGACTTATATTGATGTCAGTCAAGTATCTATCTCCAAACACACTCAGATTTCAAAAGTCTAAGGTCAGATTCAGCTCCTACAACACTGAATTGATGGATCTCTTTGGAAGCACCTCCAATCTTGTTTCATGAGCCAATGTAAGAAATGAGATAGCTTTGATTATGTGCAAAGAGAAAGGAGTTGGACAAAGACACTTAAAGGAACTATCCAGATAGAAATGGTCTGACATGATTAGCTAAAAATAAGTCTAGTACCACTAAAAGTTAAAATAATCAGAAGATACACACACATTTTTAATATTTATTAAAATCCTCTGGCAACACATTAACTCTCTTCTTTAATTTTAGTAATAGCCTGTCTTGACTGAAAGATGAAAGCACTTTTCTAATAGACTGAAAGGTTTCCCAGTTCTGTTCTAATTGAGAGAGCATCTATTTAAGCTCTGCTGAACTCCCGTCTCCATCGCACTGACTGGAGATCAAGAGTGAAACCCTAGTGTTCTGTGCTAAACCTTGAAGTTCAAAGACTTTCTGTGCTTTGCTGCTGTTTCCATAAAAATAGAAGAGGCTGATGTTTTCTCTCTTGGTGTCTACTCCAATAGGTGTGATCTCAGCACTCATTCAATGGAAGCAGAAAGATAGTGAAGAGAAGCAAGGAAGTCCGGGGCTCAGCTTGCAGGATCTTTAATATTTGCTCTCAAAGATCCAAATTTGTCTTTTTCCTTGAACTGACAAAGACTGAAATACTCTCTGTGGGCTGTGATGTAAGGGTCTCCCCATAGCCAAACATTAGCTCAACAAAAATACAATCACTCCCTTTGACAAGGTCTTTAATGACGAGCCTATTGGCATGTTCCTTGGCTCTATACAGGGTCTTTATCAACACTAAGGGAATAATAGCAATAAATTCTTTTTCAGTTAAATCTTAACTAGTACACTTAAAATATGGCTGATGGAGAGCAACATAACTCATTTGTAGTGGGCACAGTCCTATACTATTTGCCCTTCTAGTGAGTCAGTCTCCAGAGTCTCTCTAGGCAGGAGAAATCATGTGCAGAGTAGACAACTGCAAATGATTTTTGTGAAGAGAAGAAACAGGGATGCTTCTCTCAGCACCACTGAACCAAGTCTTTGAGCCTTGTAGTTTTGTCATCATTTGCACATTGGAAAATTGAGCTTTAAACCTACTTCTGAAACCTCAAAATCACCACCTACATTTGCAGACAGTTACACAGCTTCTTTTTCGTATCATGCCTCTTACGCTGCTCCAGTGTTTTGTTTTAAATGATCTTCTCTAGATGGGAACATGTTTGATGTCAGACTTCAACCTACCAAGTCTTTCCATCTTGAAAATCAATAGCACTTTGTTACATGTTACTTAATGACATCTTTGGACAGAGATCCCAGTTGTCTATAAACAAAGCTTCATTACATATTGCGGGAACTTGCAAGCATTTCTACTGGAGTCATCACAGTCGAACAACACCGAGTTGTGTTGGCTACTGTAAATTTAACTCCTGTCTACAAAGCAGAAGTAAAGGGGATAAAAGCATTATCAGTGATTTCTGCTATAAAACACTGGAACTGCTAAGTAAAAGGTCTGCTTAAACTTACTACTTTCTCCTCTTGCTTTTCATTTTTTCCCATCCAACACCCTCTGTCATCATCTTACTGAAGTTCTGTTTTAAACTTGATTTTAAAAGGGCTCTCATGAAAGTTCTGCAAAAGTGTGATTTATTTAAAAGGCTGGAGATATCTGTCATTAACAGCAATGTTTTCAGAGAGGTCCAACCAATCTGGTTGGCTGGGCTGGATGAGCACAACTTCAATTCTGTGTTGTTAACAACAGAAAGGCCCACATGGGAGCAGCAAGCTCCTGCTCTCCAGGGACCCTGTTATCGTCTACTTTACCATGATCATCAGCCCCTTCTGTAGAGCCTACAACAGAAAACCAAAACTAAAGAAAGCAAAAACCCCTACAACAGCAGTCCTTTGGACAGGTGAAGCATGTCCCCACGAGCCTGTTGGCAGGGCCCCACTTTGCCAGGCTGTCAGCCAGCCCAGGGATGCAAGAGCAAGGTCTGCTCCAGTGGTGGTACTGAGAGGCAGTAGTTAGAGCTGGCACCAAGACTTCATGATGACATGAAACCAAGCAAGCTGCAGAAAGGGTGTTAGACCTATCCCACACATTATGGAAGCCAAGGCTGTTCCTTGAAATAAGTGAGAGTTTCGAGGCATCCACTCTGTAACATTCACTGTGTCGCGCAGACTGCCCTGCACTGTTGATTAATGTTCTGTTCAGATGAGTTGGAAGGCTTCCGCTTTGTACCCTGCCTCACCAAGAACCTGAGAGGTGATTAAGCAGCACTGGCACACAGTCTGTTATGTCTTACTGATTAATTACAATGGCACACCTAAAACTTGATTGTTCCCACTCTGCTATTTCTTTCTTTCCATGCATTGCTACTTCTGGGGGTGTGATAGACAACAACCTGATTTCATAAAGAGGGTGCACTGTTTATCATGTGAACATCGTGAACTACGTACACCAGCACCACTCATAAGAGAAAACATAGCAGTGAAATTCTTTTTTAAACTTCATAATTTCTTGCAGATTCCCTACCTGACAGCTACTATTATTTTATAAGGGAGGTGGCTGGCAGATAGAGACTTACGTTTATATTATTTGTGATGGCAATAGGCTTCAGTCCTTTTCTCATTACTTAGTCATTTTCAATTCACCTTGCCATTTCTCAAACAGCAGATTTTTTATCACATGACAAATCCATCCAAAGACATATAACTAGAGCACATGGACAAGTCAATGTTCTGCTCACTCAATTTCTCAGAGAAAAATTGTGGACAAGATTGTGAAAAGCATGTCATGATGACAGTGGCCTAACAGGTCCCTTAAATAGTTAAAATAGAAGATTTTCCCAAGCATTCATCCTTTGAAAATCCTATGCTGTTTAGGAGTCTATGAGGCCAGACTCCCTCAGCACAAGCAGCCCAGTTTTGTAACCTCAACAGCTTTTTTTTTCCCTCCTCTGTTGACAAAAAAAAAAAAAAAAAAATAAAGAAAAGCAAGGCTGCTTGCAAGTTAGAACACAAACTTGTCCTGCTTTGTGAAATTTCTGACAAACTGGCTTTATGACCTGGAATCTTTTTCTGTAAGTTTAAAGTCAAAGCCATGTACATATTTCATTAGGTCTTTGACCTTACCAGGCATTTTGTAAATTAATTTAAAAATTGATATGGGCTTTGGAATGATAACACAACTAACATTAAATTACTGACTTATCCCTGCCTATTTTATACAAGATTGATCATTATAATTTTTAATGCTTAAATTAATCAGATAGAGCAAATTACTTTTTATTGTAATGGGCAATCCATAGGCTTCATTCAACTTATATCTTTAATAACTGAACAATGCACCTGCTGTTTAGGTAAACCTAGAACCAAATGTATCTTCTACAATCCTTTCAAGTTTGTCTCTCAAAAATATTATTTTTTCTCTAATACTTCAGATGGGGATAGAACTCTATTGATCATAGAGAAGAATCGTTTCCTTCTTGATTTCCTCTAAAAGGAAATTTTCTAGGAAAAAAAAAATATCTTAAAATTAGCTCCAGAGCCTAACATTGACTTAGTGTCATATTGAATTGCAGTTTCCTTAATAGTTTGAGAGGCAGGGGAGGAGATAGGGAATAAAAGTTAAAGACAAAGTCTTTCTTTTCTTTTTTAATATTTTTATATTTTTTTTTTGTATCTTCCTTCATTTGGTGTTCTGTTTTCTAGGTGGAGATTTGAGAACTGACTTACTTCAAAGAACTGAGGTGTCTCAGATTAGGAGTTTTATTCAAAGCTACATATTTTCCATAAAAGCAATACCTGATGTTAATTTTGTTTCTATTTTCTTAATCAAAAATGTACTGAAAGTGATTCTATGGAAGCTCATGTTTGACAAAAGTCAAACATCTTTCAGGAGTACGGAATGAAAAGTTTCAACCAAATTTGCTTGTAATATGGTGAAAAGTCTGGGGTAAAGGAGTCAAAGTAAATATTTATTTTTCATACGGCAGACCAGGGATTCACAGATATTGAGCCCAAAATGGAAATTTTGGCTGTACCATAGTTAACTGCACTCTCATGTGTTTTTCCTCACTCAGTTTAGGAATGACAGCAGAAAAGATGTCTCACAATACCACCAGCCTTGTCCCGCACAGGGCTCAGTTAAACAACTCCTGCCATATTTCCATGGCTATTCTCCTTGTGCTATCTACAGCGAATACTGCTCTTGGCTAGGCTTACGTGTACAGTAACACTCCCTTAAACTGAAAGGCTGGTTAAATCTTTTGCTATACGAAAGATAGCCTTTTTACTCTCCATATTGAGGTGTGATTGAGTTTACGACATTTTAAAATAGATCCACCAAGAATCCTGTCTGCTGCTAGACCACACAGCACTGACTGCACACTGAGAGACTGGGACAGATATACAAGACTTTCCACCTTCAACACCCTACCTGTGTTCAGTTTGCTGGCATGGGAGTATCAGCTGCGGCACGCAAATTCCTGGTCACCAGGCACAGAGGCTGGCTGGATGGGGAAGGAGAAGCCGGTGGATTGAATAATCACCCAGAACTGCAGCTCAGAACATCCTGGAAGGGAGCAGTTCTCAAAGCTCCCCAGAGGGTCTGGAGATCCCCACCGCATGTGAGTGCTGCAGCTGAGCTACATAGCTTAGCCTTTCTCAGGATTAGGTCCCAGGGTAATTCTAAGGATCAGGAAACAAGTAGGGGATTTGCAATTAAAAGAGATGGGGCACATATTCTAATGTTTATGAACTACTAGTCAAGCAATGCAACACCGCAAAGAACATAATACTGTATGGTTTTGAAAATATCTTTATTGCAGCTGTATTGATAATAGTCCAAGAACCTCTATGATTTTCTTTAGTAAAAGAGACCCAAGGGCAATCCAAAGAACTGCTTATTTTGAATGGCAAACCCAAATTTTAATGAGATTACAATACAGAAGTGTAAATGTTTGTGTTCCATGGAGAGCTGATGTATCTTCCAATTGCGTCTGTCACTAGTAAGATATTAAAGAATTTTTGGCTTAAATTCATTCAATTTTCTTCCAATAAATTAATTTATCTGAAGTCCTCAAACATCTCAGTTTCCACAATTACACATTCCACTTGGAAATGTAGTTTTTGGTGAACCTAAGAGTTTTGAGGGGGACAGTGGATGTTGATTTGCTGTTGCTGCCAGACAATAGTCTCTGTCCATGCAGACTGCCAGATATCCAGGAATCCTGAGAAAATGGCCATTATTAATGTTTAAACAAATTTCTACATAGTATACAAAGGAATCCAGCACTTCTAGTTTACTTTGGTCCATGTATAGGTGGTCCATGAATAGTCTAGATGAATCAATCATTTTCAATGCACCTGTATCCACAGGTAATCTCAGTATATTCACATAGCACAGATATATATGTTTGTACCTGATAAATCTTCCCCACCACTCCACAGCCTTTATTTCTGCTTTTGCCCTGCCTGGGAAAAAAAAAAAAAAAAAATCTTTAAGAGAAATTGAGACAAAACCAATAAAAACAAAAGAAAAAATAAAACTCCAAACATGAAAATATTCTCTGATGTGCAACAGTATTTTCTCAAAATATTAAAACACTAAAAATTAAATACATACATATTCTGTGTTGCTACTGATAGCAGCAATCCCAATTTATATAAAATATTTCTTGATGTTCTCAAACATACTCTAGCTGTTTTCATTCCATCCCACTTCATGCTTTTTCAAAGACTAAAGGTAAATAAAAACGAATACACAGGTGCTGAATATTTTTTTCCCGTTTCAGGTAGATTTCTTTCTCAGGGACAGGGAAGCAAACTTTGAAAGCCCTACAGTTTTCATCTCTCAGATGCAGTCATTTCCAATAATAGCACTTTTGAAGAAGTTCAGTAAAGGAACAATGATTATGCCTCATGAAGCATGAATTCTCAGTCTCATAGCAGCTTCAGAAAAAAACCCAGCTGCATGATATTAGCTAAAAAGGAAATAGGATAGAGTCTTCTCTTAAGACTAGGGAGAGTTGCCCAATATTTCTACAAAACAACCCTTTATCAAACAAATACAAGATAACTAGTCTTACAGTAAGTTTTCTGACGGTTTTTAAAGTGTTCCATAACTGTGATGAAAGAGAAGCAATTTAGATAAGTCATCCCACTTTTATTTTTGTCAATAAAACTGAATATCTGTTATCAAAGTAACCATCCAAATTGCATTAAAAAGCTTTCATGTGCAATCAAGTTTTGAATGTTAAACATCACCAAAAATTCCAGCAGTGGCAGTATAGAAGTTATGTACAAAAAACAGAAAACAGCATCTGCTGAAAGGATAAGGTAAGATCGTAGGAATAGGCCATCACAACTGGACAAGGATCTGAACTTATCTTTGATATGATAACATTTTTAATATTCATTTCAAGGAATAGATTATTCAACAATGTTCCAAAGGTCATATTTTCTCTTAGTAAGAACTTCCAATCAAGACCTAGAAATCCTTCCTGAGTTGTGAAAGAAAATCCTATCACAACTTCTGTTGGAGGCTCAAAACAGATTTCTTCTTTATTTAAATAAATCCAAACAATGGTAAAGAAACAGCCTTATCATTTCTAAAAGATGTTTAACACTTGAACGGGCTCAGAAGAAGGCTACTTAATTTCACCTTAATGAAAGTACGTGTACAGGCTTTGAAATACAGGCAGCCCGGATTCGGGCTTCAGAACTCCTCTAATGAGCAACAGAAGGCAGAAACCCATCTTCATCTTCCTGGGCCCTGGAGCAGTATCTGTAGTGCTGAATAATACACTGTTGTCCCATCTGAGGTAGTTCCTCTCTCAGAAGGGCAAGCAACAGGAGAAAGAAGATGGAAAGAACTCATGCATATAATGACCTTTTTGAGTCCTTAAAACTACTTTTTCACTTAATTTACACAGATATTTGCTGAATTAGTCAAATAAGCACTAAACAACAAGTAGCATGAGGACAAACATCTTAATTTTGTTATATAAAATTATGCAGTTTTCATGCTGAATTGCTTAGAAATTGGTCAAAATGTGGTCTTATGATATGAGATGTTTGAAACTGAAACTAAGCAAAACTCAAATGACACTGAGAAGAGGTGGAAAGCTCAAAGTGTACGTTAAGGAATTCTGGTGCAGATTCCTTCACCTGCAAATACATGATCCAAATAGCTAATATACTTAGTAAGCACACTTAGTAAACAATTTATTGATGTGAAGGCTGGATACAGAGGCAATCCTGAGCACTGCATATTCAATCACTATTACTAGGAGAATTCTCCCAATTTACAGATAATTAAGGTTGTCCATAGCATCCATTCAAATATTCAACCATTACAAAATGAGATGTTTACCTGAAGTACAAAGGAAGGCTCAAATATCCCCATCCCAAACATTATCTGCACCAACAAGCAGACCTTAGGCACTGAGTCATATCCTGTACCTAGCAGAGATTCCTGATTTTTAAATGTATATAGACCTTTTAAGTACAGGCTGCAGTTATTTGGTCAACACTGCCCAGAATTTCAAATAAATACAAAAGCAGTTTCCCTAATTACTAGAGACATGGAATCCCCTTCTTAATTACAGCTCCAGATGATGAAGAAGTTGCATCCTGAAGAGCTTACAGATGTCTTACTGCACCCACGTTTTGCTCCATTTTTTTAAAATAAACATTCACACAGTGACTTCCATATAATTGAGTTTAGATGAATATGATTATAGTATTAATTATGAAAGGTAAGATAACAGGTTAGGAAGCCTAATTAACTCATCAAACTTCAGGTCTAGTCTACAGCAAATTGGCTGTGTCTCTTAAAATTAAAAGCTACTGTGGATTGATGCAATAATTGTATGACTTTATTTACGTGAGGCTTGAAATTAATTATGCTAAAACTTACCGTTCACTACAAACAGCAGATCTCCAACACCTCAAACTACTGCTACAACTGGTCTTTCCAACAAGCCATAGATGTAAGGCCTTTAAAATGGAAATGAGATGCAAGTAAATTAACATTAAATATAGCGTAACAAATCAATTCTGAGGTCACCATGGCAACTTCCATAACATTAAGCATGAATTATGTGACAAAAGAATTAAATATTGCTTTTACTGTAGTCATTCAATTTACTTTATGCTGAATTGTGACCATATTCCTTCCCAGAAAGTTTCCACGAAAATTACTTCTAGAAGATAATTTAAAAATATCTAATTTCTGAAAAGCAAATAGAATTAATAGTCAAAAGAAAAAAGATTGGATCAGTGTAAAGTGATTTCAGGGTACACACTAACAGATAAGTAATGCCTACTTCTGAAAAAATAAAAATGAAGAGCCCCTACTCTTCTCTCCATGTCCTCCATCAGCAATCTAAACAATTACAATTAAAACCAACAGTAACAGCACCACATTTATAAGCTAAACTGCTTGAACACAGGCTATCTGATTAGAAGACACCTTTCCTGTTCTGATGGACATTTTTCCTCTTGAAGCTCTGCCTGGTGTGGAAGCTAGTGGTGGATACATAGCTGACTGATTTTACTCCACGCCCTTCCCACTATCAAAAATGCTTCCCAAATTGCTCACACAAGAGGTGGACACAGTATTTACACATTAAAACAACACCATATATAACCTTACTGATCTGTCTGAGGTTCTCTGATGAACACCAAAAGACCTGATTAGTCCCTTTGATCACTGTGTCACACTGGGAACTGCTAAGAATTAAGTCTTTTCTAGAGTAACCTTTTTTCTGAATACAGGATAGGAACTTCTATCCATGGACTAATGCTTATTACTGGATACCTATCCTAGATTCAGATAGGATAGGGTTAATTTTCACAAGAAGCTGGGAGGAGGCACAGCTGACCCAAACTAGCTGGCTGAACATCACAGCTCAGAAAGTGGCTGAGTGTGGGGTACCGAGTGGTGAGCAATTTCATTGTCCATCACTCATTTCATATATATTCTTTTGTTAGTATTATTGATATCATTGTTTTATTCTCTCCTTGTGTTGTCCTATTAAACTCTCCTTATCTCAGCTCACAAGGTTTTACATTTTTCTTCCAATTCTCCTCCACATCCCACTAGGGGGAAGGAGTGAGCAAGTGGCAGTGTGGTACTTTGTTGCTGGCTGGGCCTAAACCACAACAATATCCAACCTCATATTCATCTGCAGTAGAACATCTTCTGTTTTCCCAAATCCCTATGTTATCTAGTTCACATTTCTTTTTCACTGTTTACCATTCTCCCAATGACCAAAATTTCTCTGTCTTTGTCACCAGCTTCTCTTTTCAATGGTAGGTCCCTGTTTACTCTCAAAGGTCTTTACCCATTCAGCCTTCTGGCGTTATAATATTCCACATTTTAAATGGAACTTACATATTTTTCCTATTCTTCTTATGGAAAAAGCACAACTGGTAGACCATTAGAAAACAAACTTCCTAAAAGCAAAACATAGAAGTGCTTCAATCCTTTTCTTTGTTCCTCATAACCTCTCAAATAGCTACAGAGTCCCATTTGGGAAAAGCTGGCAACACAGCTCCTCTAACAGTAGTCATCTGTTGTTGGGTAAGATTGTACAAATGACTAAAAATCCAGAGGAACACAGAAGTCTTCTGGAGATTCAGTGTTTCTTATCCTTAGCAGTTTCTTATCAACCACAAAAAAAAAAAAAAAAAAAAACCAAAAAAAAAAAACACAATGAAGAAATAAGGTTCTCATCCAAAGTAAAATTGGTAGCATAAGAGAAGTTGAAAGCTTTGAGACACCTTAAGAGAAATGGTTTAGGAATATGAATTCAAAAGCTCTGCAGAAATTCCCCAGCTCTTCTCATCACAGTTTGTGAGAGGTATTTCCTTAATGTGATTACATAAAATAGAGTAACTCCAACTGTTATATCATTTTTCTAAGATCTACTTTAAACTAACAGCCCTATCATCTTGTTTTTAACTATTTACAGTCAAGACTAATATTTGCTTAGTATTTCATACGCTGATGAAAATCAATATAAATGATGTAGAGCTCTGCTTTTTTCAACACTTCCACAACTTCTGGAATGAAATCAAGAAGGGGACAGCTGATTAAAGCAAGTGCAACTTACATGAGTTTCCAATTTTTTCTGCAGTTCTTAGCTCCTGATTTATAGCACTTAGCACAAGTATCACCTTTATTTTACTTAATATACAGTTCTTATATACATCTGGCTTCACTTGTCTTCTAACAAGGCTACACTCTTGCTAGACAGTTAACAGTTTACAATTAAAAAAAAATTACAACTTTTACAACTACTTTGCCCTCCTTGGAAGTTACAAGACAGAAGCTTTTGGGATATCAAAAAGAATTCTTAAACATTTATTTCTGAAGCACTGTTCACACTTTTTCCTCATTAAATAGTCTGTCAAAATGATTGGCTTCTAATGTTTTCAGCTTCAGATAAGCAGCTATTTGAAATTCCAAACATATATACTATTTGTTTGGATTTTATTCTGTTTACGAAAGCCATGTGAGGTCAAGTCTTGATGATTTCTACTTACTTATCTGTGATTCTTTGTTCTGAAAATTAATTTATCCTTATCTGCTAAGATCAGGTCTCTGTAGCTTTATGCCATGTCAGATGCAAAATGGAAATAGAAAGTGTACTTTAGAGCACTCAAAAATGTCAAGCACATTTTGGTATTAGCTATATGAAGTTTCTAACAATATCACATGAAGAGAAGACCTGTAGTTACATAGGTTTTTTTCCTCTCACCCAATTTTATCTGTGATTATAAGGCAGACTAGAGGCCTGAAACAGTCCCTAAATTATAATCCACCTTGCATATTATCTGTTACAACAATTTTTCATAAGCAATTAAAGGTTGTTTATGCTTCCAACTTAGTTTCTTGAATGTGGTAACGTCGATTTTGGTTTTGGAAGAAAATATGTCCTTCCTAAAAACCACTGTAACATTAACACAGCTTTGGGGTTTTTTGAGCACTTCAGTCCTGCTAGCCATCCAACCAGACTGTGATAACATCAAAGTAAAATTTTTGATTACAAATGGAAAATTACTACTTCTCTCATTTATAACCCAGACTCCTAGCACTGTTGTACAAGCTATTAAAAAAAAAATTTCACATCCTCCCTTTTTCTTTTTTTCCACATAGCCATTTTTATTCCCCACCTCACAACATTTTTACTGTCCTCCCTCCCCCAAAAACACACAATTTTCATAAAAAATAAAACATGCTCTGGCACTTCGACTCTCTTGATATGGACACCATCCCAAAAGAACAGCAGTTGCCTCTGGAGAGCATACCACACTGTCTCCCAGGGGCAACAGTCTTGTATTGTACCAGTTACCCTGCAAATTGCTTCTGAGACAGCCTGCCCTCTGCCTTTCTTTAAATCACCCTGCCAAAACCTCACAGACCTTTGGACCTTCCAGAATCAGTACCAAGCTGAGCTGCCCTTAGGGAACCTGCCTGACACCACCATCTCTCTAAGCCTGTTTCTGGTCACTGGGTGATAGCAAAAATTTTGGAGAGGCCACCTTGCATCTAACACTGCAGCAACAGCAACGCTTGCCTTGCATCCATTGCCTTGTCTTCCCCACAAGTTTTAGGAAGTTTTCTTGCTTACCTTATCTAGACCTACTCTGAAATTCTCTCTGTAGATGTAATGCTGGAGGCAGCACACACACCGGGGGCACCATGCCTATAGGAGATCTTGCTGTGGCAACACAGCTTGTGCTGTGCTACATACATGCTTCAGCCCAGTAAGTGTTTACAAAGTGCATTACAGGCATTGCTAGATATCATGCAGACACGGCATCATGATAAAACATGCTAAAAGACAGAACTATAGAAAATAGATATATTTCTTTCATTTATACATTGACCTTTGTGCACCAGATAATTATTATCTATTCTAGAAATAATAAATCTGAGATATAATCATTTTTTTTATATATTTATCTGCAGAACTCCAAACAACTTTGATCGCTGCCAAGAAGGAACTGGAAAATAAATAATTCCAAATATCCTAAATGTGATTTTTTTTTTTTTTTTTTTTTTTTTTTACTGTATAAATGAACTGAGCAATACCAGGTTTCTCCAGAGCCTGACTATAGAGAGAATCATAAGAAATCTCTCTTATATCACACTTTTTCTTTCTGCGGAAGTTGAATAGTTTTTTCTTTCTTTGGGAATACCTACTTTGCTATCAGAAGCTGACTTCATGGGACTAATATGACGAAAGCAGGGGTTACATTCTTTTCTAATTTACATTGAAAATTATGCTACCATGGAGCAATTACCACATTTTTCTAGATCAAGAGATTATTAAAGCTTTCAAAAATAATGAAAGTCACATCATACACTGATAAAATTTAACTTACAAGCTTGTAGTTCACAGTGTTTGTCACATACCATTCACTCAACACTTTGCAGGCACTCTTGTAATATCTAGAAAGCAGAATCCATAGCTACATGAAAAAAAGCCACAAAACCTCAGTGTTACTGGGATTTGCCCCTATTCTCTGAATGTCCTATATTGAAATAATCTCCAAAGGTATCTTTTCTTGCCCTAATTAATAATTCTCTTTAGCAGTCTCAACGCTATTTCTTAATGGTATGTTTTTTTGTATTTCCTTCAGAAGACATTATGAAGAGATATGTGATTTATTTACTTTTATTTTCTTTATTTTTGACATATTGGCAATGGACCCAATGTTAAATTCAACCATGTTCTTCACTGTGGTTCCCCCCTTTTCATTAAGATCACAGTTCTACCTTCCAGCTGATTTATATTTCCACTTTCTGCTTAACGATTCAGAAAATAGCCTCTCATTGGAAAAAAAAAAAAAAAAAAATTCTATGTAGTGTTCATTTGAGGTGCAACTCTTGCACCCTTTTAAATGGGTTTCTGACAGAGTCCAGTATGCTTTATAAAAGCAGTAGTCACAATTTATACAGTTACTCTGCAAGAAAGAATAACTAG